GCACATGGTATGGTGGGCCTGTGCAAACTTCAAGCCCATGGGTTGGCTTTCGTTTGAGGGAGAGTTTATTGGGATCAACTGGTTCTTGACATGGTATCAGAGCCTTCTGTGACTGAGAGGTCTTGTGTTCGATTCCCGGTGACCCCCATTTGTTAAGCACATGGTATTCGGACCTGTGCAAACTTCAACTCCTTGTGAGTGGCTTTCGTTTGAGGGGGCGTGTTAGTGTGTGGTATATGATCCAAGATTGAACCTCTCCCAACAACTTGAGTTATTGGGATCAACGGGTTCTTGACATTATGAGAATGTACCCTAAGAAAGGAGTTCAGATTATTAGCTTAGTATCAGAAGAATCAGAAGTCAGCCTAGGATGATGATGGTGATGATAAACAGCCAGTAAAGCTTTTACATGCATGATCGCGGTTAAGTCCATGTCTCTTCAGTTTCCTGATGTAGTCTTTGCTGAAAGAGAACTTATTGCTCCCAAGGTGAGAGAAAGAGGCCCATTTATAGGTTCCAGTTTCCTGATGTAGTCTTTGCTGAAAGAGAACTTATTGCTCCCAAGGTGAGAGAAAGAGGCCCATTTATAGGTTCCAGTCTTGTGCAGATCTTCAAACACTATTATGAAAATACCAGTATTCAACGGCATTAGTTATGTTTAGTGCAAGTGGAAAGGATCAGTAGTGTCATCAGTCATGTAAGCTTGAAAAAAAATATCTACATAGTCTTAGGTTTATTCACAAGTTAGACCCTTTCACTGGTCCACCAAACCACCTCACTTGTGAATGCTAGTACAAAAGCAGCAGGTTTTGGAAGGTAATCATATACATACGAGCTGAGTTCCGATTGGTCCCTGGCTTTGGGTTTAGAGACTGAAACTACAATAGACCTCAATAACAGTCTTGGAACCAAATAAATGCTGCATTCTCCTTCCAATCTTGTGCGAAACTACAAGGATCACAAAAACAAATGACCAAGTGGTATTGGTTACCAACCAACAATGGAAACCACAAAACTCAAACTACAGTTCGAAGTCATTTGACACTTAGCAGCAAACATTAGGGTGGTTTAGTTCACAAGCAGACAACCTAGAACTGCACAATCAATCACTTCTCAAGAAGATTACTAACTGCTACAGTTACACGCAACATCAAATGAAAGAAGGGCATTTCTCTTTGCTTTGGCTTGGGTTTGGTACGGTAACGGTGGAGCAGTCCGTTGGAGGTAGAGAGCGGACGGAACAAGGGAGACTGAGAATGATTTTAGTCGATCGACAGCGGGGAAGTTTGCCGGTACTGCTTACCACAGTACGCCGGAGCAGGAGAGCGAGGAAGACGCGGATTCCTCTGGGCTTCGGTTTTCCTTCCTTCTCTTTATTATTATTATTTTTTTTATGAGAAAAACACACCAATACAACAAACAAATTCAAAATTAATTAATGGAAAATAATAAAACTAAGGTGTCGTTTGCTTCATGGATTTAAAAATGAGGGTTTTGTAATTTAAAAACCTAAGGGCCTGTTTACTTTCATTTCTTTTTCCTGTTTTTGAGGAAACAGATGTTGAAAACAGGTGAAAACAACATTTTGTTGTTTCAGAAAACAGCAGGAAGTTGCCACTTTCTGTTTTCATAGTTGGAAACGAATAGAAAACAGAATGAAAAGTAAACAAGTTTTCTCATTTCGGTTGCCAAATTTAAGAAATGAAAACAAAAAACAGGAAACGAAAATGGAAATGAACAAGTCCTAAGGATTTATCAAGGATTTGAGGCATCATGGATTTGTAACAATCCTTTGTTTGTTGAGATGTTTTTATCATGGATTTAAAGGTGTGGGATTTACTACTTGAAGTCCAAAATTACATTACTATCCTTGTCTATATGTTTGACATGTTTATGATATGTACACAAAACAAGGACAAAACTTCAAAATTATCTACTATCCTTTTCTATATGTTTGACATGTTTATGATATGTACACAAAACAAGGACAATACATACTAATAAGCATAATGTTGCCACATGGACAATAATAATAAAAGAGAAAATTCCGTTTAATTTTTAACGTAACATAATCAATTACAAATTCTTTGTCCTCCTTTTCAAAAGTAACATATAACAACATATATTAGAATCGGGAGAACAAAGAATTACACGTTCCATGAAAAGGTCAAAGAAAACTAGAACACAAGAAATGATATAAAAAATCTAACTCATGTTTGCACATTAATTGAATGTTTATATTATTCATTTATTGTTAATTACTTGATTAATTATAATGTGTAATAGTTAAATTTGAGGACAACCTTGGAATATTAAAAGTGCATGAGGATATATAGATAAAATCTCATCAAGGATTTATGTCATGTTCCAAATCCCACATCAACATGTGGGATTTATAAGTCCGTGGGGTCCACGGATTTGGACCCTTAAAATCCGTGGACCCCACGGATTTGGTCTCCAAAAAAAGTGCAAGCAAACAATGGATTTTTGTTAAATCCATGATGGATTGGATTTGGGTACCAAATCCATGATCCAAATCCATGAAGCAAACGACCCCTAAAAAAGGATCACAGAAAGGAAGACGGAATCTAAAGCCGGCTAGACCACCGGATTTGGGCTGAGCTTTAATGAAATCAATCACAGCCACGTCACAGTCACGTGGCCCAATAAGAAGTTGCGTCACCGATAACTCACTTTTAATAGCGGCACCGTAACATTGGCCTATATATAATTAATAATTGGATGTTAGTGTTACGTATATGGGTCGATTGATTCCACGGGGAAGTGCCCCTTTTGTAGTCCATGCATCGTCAAGTATTTATTCCAAGAAGCCCACACGAAATTTGAAAGTAAATTACCATGGAGTCCTTCCGTTCTCTGCGCAGCGGCTAGATAAAAGGAATTTGTATAGGTGATGATAGAGAACGTCTATATAATTGTTGTTTGATTTGATTTGATGATGATTTGCTTTGATTTGAAGAGAATAGGTTCCCGAGGGCTGATAGTGAAATATGCATTGCCAGTGTAAAGGTAAGTTAATTTTATAGAATTAGAAATGAATTTTCGTTCTTCATATGATTCATTGAGATGAATGTTATGTGGAAGAGAGAATTTTACAGGTTTTCTAACATGTAGCCATTTAAGAGATGCTACTCAGAAAATCCTTAGGCCCTGTTCACTTCCATTTTCGTTTCCTGATTTCTGTTTTCATGTCATAAATTTGGCAACCGAAACAAAAAAACTTGTTTACTTTTCATTCTGTTTTCTTTTCGTTTCCAACTATGAAAACAAAGAGTGACAACTTCCTGCTGTTTTCGGAAACGACAAAATGTTGTTTTCACCTGATCTCAACGTCTGTTTTCTAAAAACACGAAACAGAAATGAAAATAAACAGGCCCTTACTTTTGTACTGTTAATTGAAGACCACCGCATTATCAGTCATGACACTATAAACAACATTCACCATTTCAGAAGTGCATCCAGCATAGACAATCTTTCAAAACTCAGTAGCAGTCTTTACATATTACATTTCAATCAGAAACATAAACAAAATCTAACGGCGGTACAAAGATGGCAAAACAGAGGATCTACACAGAGGACAGTTGGGTGTGTGGTGAACAAGCCACTGAAGAACGCAATCCCTGTGAAAAGTGTGCACACAACCAGGCAATCGTACCACCACCGAATTCGTTTTCGGAGCCAAGCAGATGCTGCACTCCCCACCACCACTCGAATCCGCCTCCACTTCCATGAGAGCATTCCCGAGTCTGGAAACCAGCACTCCCCCCCACTCATTCCAAGCCCTCCGAGCCACCGAATCGATGATTGAACCTCGATCCGACGCAGTCATCAGCACGCCATTCTCGACCCTCGTCACGTGCTCCTCTGCCACACGCTTCAGTTCGTCCACTGACATCCTCTCAAATCCTGATCGTCCTCGCGTGGAAGCAGCGTGGTGATCTTGGCAGCGGATCAGAAACTTCTCGAGGTCCTCAATTGCCTGTCCCTCTTGTTGCGCCCTGCATATCTGCTGATACTCTGCCTCTCCAACTCTGGTCTTCTTCGCAATGTTCATCACCATCTTGACCTCTACTTTCTTCCCTTCGTCGTCGGAACCGTAACGGCGTTTGGTTCCTGCCATGACTCCGAGCACGGAATTAACGATGTGGGAAGCCAGCTCTGCTCTGGTCTTTACTCTGGTCCACGACGGCGAAGACGGTAACGATCTCCACTGGATGTTGTTCTCCAACGGGAAGGGGATGTTCAAACTCGAACACACCATCTTCTTGGAGACGGACTCGACGCCGAAAGAGTCGTCGTCGGTGGGGATTGTGAATCTGGAGCGGTGTGATTCCACCACTATCTGCCTGGGCAATGATGATGATGGTTTCGCTGGTGGCTTTGTTGTGGTGCCGCGCGGCTGGTAGATGCGATCGACCTGGGTGACGAACAGGACTTGGGAAGAGGTGTTGTCGTTGGAGAGTGGTGTTGGAGGGCCGCCGGCGGGCTGGAGAGAAACGAATATGTCGTAGTGGTTTTGGTTGTTGACGCCGATGCTGGTTGCGGTGGTGGTATCACTATGAGAATCGTGACTTCCTGTTTCTGCCCTTGCGGATGCCGCCACTCTCGACATTTTCAGTAATTACTGTTTGTTTGGAAGAGTGTTTTTGCGGGGCGGCAAAAGAGCTCGTGGCAGCGAAGAATAAAAACGGAAACAAGCGGGGAGGATGGCTTACTTCGCAATTGGATGAGAGCAAGAGACTGATGTAGAAATCACTCTTTATAGGGAGTGGGGTCGTCTGAATTTCTTCGGTTTCCTTTCTTCAATTTGGTTTCCGGTGCGGGAAAGGAAAAGCAAGTCCGTTGGCAGCTCGGACTAGGATTTCCTTCTACCACTCGGACTCCATCTCACGGTATTTTTTTTTTTTTTTTACTAAAGTGACCTGCTATAGACAAAATTATTAGCCACGTGGAAATTTCAAAGAAAACCCAGGAGATTATGGATGATACTGGATCGATTGAAACTTGAAAAAGCTCAGAAAACTTTACTAAAGTGCCCAGAATAAGCCAGCGCGGGAGAAAATAACAATCTTTGGGTAACAGAGGGAGACAGATAAACAAGGAAGAAGCAGTACCGTAAAAAACACAAGCCTCTTGAATGTCTCTCACCGCAGCTTGCTCTACAATGTTCCTCACCAAAACCTCTTAATCGCCTTGTCCTGCATCCCTCAGCCGATCAAAAGAAAATTGGATTCAGAAACGGCAATAAGAGACATTCGGAATGATCAGATCGGCGGTGTAAGGGTTCACCTTAGGACAGCACTTGCCGCAATTGGAGCAGCGGACGAAGTTGGCATGGCCGCGGCCGTGCTTGCTCCGCCCTCCATTTCTGCGCTTGAAAGTCTGCGATCAAAGACGAAGAAGAGGGAATTAGCCGCTGTGAGCACGGGTGGTGCCTCCACGAGAACAGAGAGAGAGAGAGAGAGTTGGGGAAGCCGAATGGAACCTACCATTGTCGCCGACGGGGGACTTATCACCGGAATCACTACTTCCTTCGTTTAGGGTTTGCAAGGAAGCACTCGGAGCAGATTATAGCTCAACGGAATAGCTTTAGAATAGAGATAAATCCAGTGTTGTTGGGCCTTGCCTCCCAGTAAGGCGGCAAGATGGATATATGGGTAATTACGGGCCAAGCACGCACGACATGTATAGTATGGGCCCAAAATGGCCTCATGTCATGAAGACCTACCATGGCCTAATGCAAAAGTTAAAAAAACTATCAAGAACTCAAACTTCACTACTTGGGGGCTGGACAGCAAATTTGGGGAAAGGTGGGTAGACAATTATTTTTATATTTTTAATTGTGAGGTGAAATTTTTACATAATAATTATGTTTGATTATTTTTAATTGACAAACTCATCAATTTAACAATCATACGTTAGAGTTTATTGTCACCAAGGACGAAAATAACGGAGTCGGATAGAGAGTGACCATCGGTGACATAATTGTGTAATGTTGATAACGAATGAAAAAGGAAAACATTTCGAGCGACAAACATGAAATAAAATTACAACTCGAATGACCAAACTTGCAATTCATCCTGATAGAATAATCTTGGGCTAAATATCATAATTGGAAATCCAGTACCACCATAACACATTACAAAATCCAAATAACTCGAAAATACCACCTCTAGACATAATACATCATTTAGATTCCAAAATGCCATTTTTGTGAAATAAAATCCTCCGGACGAACAATCAAGCCACCATATCTACTTGTAGCCCATTAGGGACAAAAACATAGTCCAACCTATCCACTAATCACGACCAACGCCAAAACAATACGCATGATCTTCAAAATCATGTCCTTACAATTTCAATCGAGCATCAGTCCTGAGTATAGATAATAATAATAATAATAGGTCACATATGAGTAGAATCTAAAGGACAATCACAAAACAAGCTGCGGTACTTATGAATGGATTAAAAGATACACAAGTAGAAAACAGGTCATTAGTAAAAAAAAACGCTGCTCATCAAAGAAACAACAATGTGCACAAGAATGAATAAGTGATGTAATTACCTATCTTACTCAGTAGTGTCGTGAAGGCCGGAGCTTTCTCCTTGTGGGAACATTCTAGATGTGCTTCCATGATGTCATTATCCTCAGCACGACAATCAACAACCTGAACACTCCCTCTGATAGGTTCAACCCAAATAAGTCGATCTACACCCAGTTGACAGTAGAATGTGATCATTCAAAGTCCCGGAAATAATAAATTCGCCACCATCAAACAAAGGATTCAGCACGGAGTGTAGCCTGAACCAAGAATCCTCCTTTCCGTATTCCTTCATTATCCAAACATCAAGCCGTCCCATGAAGGCAGCACACACATGATGACGGTGTCTTCGAAGCTAGGAGGGAGTAAGGAAGAACAATAATCGTAGGCGAAATTCAAAGGTGCTGGCGTGGAATGGAGAACGACCGGGCCTCGCCAGCAGCTGACGAACAGGGACGTAAAGCGCCGGTGTTGGCGTTCGATGAAATCGGGATCGTCTGTTATGGATCTCCATTCCTTTTTCACGCACCTCAATCTGCCGAGCTCCCACGGTGACAAGCGTCCCAGAATTTCGCTCATCACTCCAGACGGAATGTGGTCCGACATTCTCAATATCTCACCTCTGTTTCGGGGGAGTGTTTTTTTCTGAGATGTCCGCTACGAAATGGCACAGTGACTTATGAGTCGTGAAAATGGAAAATGGATAAAATAGTGAATGGTAACTAAATGGCCGTAAGTGGTAACAATTCTCTAACCTTTCAAATTCTCAAATTCCCCATAAAATATTGATAATACCTTGGACATTGAATCCCCTTTTATCGGGTTAATTGCACGGTTTGTCACTGAAATTACAAAAAACGTTCAAGTTTGGTCACTCAAAATATTTAAATCCATTGGTGGTCCTTCAGTTTACTCAAACCATTCACGTTTGGTCACTCTCCGTCCAACTCCGTTAACTTTGACTGATGTGGCAGTCAACTCTCAAAGTTGACCGTTAACTTAGTGACGTGGCAACTAAAAAATTATTAAAAATTAAAAAAATAATTTTTTATATTTTCCACCTCATTATTACATTCATTAAAAAATAAATAATAAATAAATAACCTAATACCCTACCCGACCCCATCCTCTGCCGCGTCTTCCTATGGACAATCGTCGTCCTCCTCCTCTATTAATTCTTTCCCTTCCCTCTCTGGTCAATTTTTTTCATTAAATGCCTCTCCGCCACCTCTATTAATTCTTCTCCCTCTCTCTCTTCCGGCGCCAGAGAAAAGAAAGAAAAGAAAAAGAAATTCCAACACCTGCCCGCCGTCGTAGAAACCCCACCGCTTTGACGACGCGTTGTAACCTCGACGTCGCATTTCACCTCATGCTGTGGCCGAATCTGTCCGGAGAAATTAGGGCCTCCGGATCCCCACACCTCAGCCGGCTCTACGAGAACACCGACGACGGTCTCAGGAACATCGGACTTGTCATGGACTTGCTCCGCCTCGAAGAACCGCCGCCGCAGTGGTGGTGGTGCGCGGGGAATCGCTCCGAGAGGGGGAAGAAGCCGCCTCCGCCTCCAGATCTCCGCCTGAAGAAGGGCGATTTGATCCCCAATCTGTAGTAGTACCTGAACGACGAGAACAATCTATGCTTGGAAGAATTCGACTGGTACGATCCGAATGGGGACGGCCGCTTGCTCCACGCCGATGATCTCCTGCTCGATCTCCACGGCGACACCGTCGCCGGCTCCGTCACCAGCATCCTCTCCGAACGCTCGAATCCGAACGAGTAGGACCGCTCCAGCCGGATGAAATTGTTGCTCCTCCTCCCTCGACGGCTCGATCTTTCAAATTCCAAGACGCGGCAGGGGAGGAGGATGGGGAAGGGGATGGTGCTCGGTGGAAATGGTGGTGGTGGTGGCCGTGGGGGGACGGGGCGTCGGCGGTGGACCTCCAGAGATCAGCAGCGATGGACCGCCGGCTCGGAATCGAAGCAGGCGTTGAGGTCGAAGGCGGATTGGAGCGACGAGTCGACGCATTTGCAGAAAAAAAGAAGAGGTTTTGGGGTGTGTAGAAAAGGAATTATTTTTTTATTTTTTTATTTCAATGAATGTAATAATGAAGTGGAAAATATAAAAGTTTATCTTTTTATTTTTAATAATTTTTTAATTGCCACGTCACATATTTAACGGTCAACTAGGAAAGTTGACTGCCACGTAAGCTAGAGTTAACGGAAATGGACGGAGAGTGACCAAACTTGAACCATTTAACTAATTTGAGTGACCAAGATTGGATTTAAATATTTTCAGTGACCAAACATGAACGTTTTTTGTAATTTCAGTGACCAATCATGCAGTTAACCTCCCTTTTATCATTTCCAAAAACAAAAAGAAGCCAAATGCAGAGTTACCCAGGACATAGAGATTGTTCCAGAAATAAAAGTAGCAATAAATTGAACGTTAGTGGGAACTTCAAACGTCAAGTTAATGAATCTGGCTTCCGATGAATTATGATCACAGACAATTAAGGGTAGTTTGGTGAGTGTGAAGTCTACTTTGATTGTTACAATATATGATCTGTTTAATTTTATGCGAGGTAGTTCTGTCCGTTGCGGCACTGGTACAGTCTTTTTTGCTGACCGGTTATATTTGTTAGGTTTTGAATCGGTTTGGGTGTCTCTGATGCCAAACGAAACCGGAGTGCGGAATTCAGGGGTCGTTTGGAGAATATGAGTTTAAATCTACAGATTATCACCAATCTAAAGATTCTAACTCTTTTCTACCAAAAAAAAAAAAAAAAAAGATTCTAACTCTTCGGATTGTTGAAAACAGATTTTAAAATGTTTATTGTTAGGTAACTGTGATTGTTAACAATCAAGTAAAATAAAAAATTCATTTTATATTAAATAACATGTTTATCCTTAATAAAAAATTAGAGTGGTTCGAGAAATATAAAAAACTTTGTTGATAAATATATTTCATGTGATAAATAAATAAAAGGAAGAGAAAAATTAGGAGAGAAAAATCTCACGAATCAAGATACAGAATCTCTCTGGTTATGAGAGATTTGATATCCGCAGATTTTAGAGATTTGAAATCTGTAAAGCTAGAATCCATAATACAAAAATTAACAAAAAAACATAACTTTCTACAAAATCTACGGATTCAATGAATCCATGTCCTGAATCCTGTTCTCCAAACGACCCCTCAGTGCGGGAGTTTTTTTGTTTTTGTTTTACTAAAACGGAGTGTGGGATTAGTTCAGTAAAGTGTAAACGCTTCTTTATGTTCATATTTTAATTAAGTAGGTTCATCATTGTAATTATTTGTTTGAGTAATTTAATTACTCGTACTAAGATTATCTTTAAACTTTTTCTCGATAAAGTTGAGTTAAGGTTTCTATATTAAATTGATTCATCATTTGAATATGTAGATTTTCTATTTCTCCTTGTAGCTCCCTAATTTCTAGCTCAATGTGTTCTACATTTGTTAACATCAACATGATTAATTATTGACTTACAGTCATTCTTTTTTCTAATAAAGGTGATAAACTTTGTTAAACGACCAAGCGAAAAAAAAAAAAGTACAAACGAGTGACAAGCCATCAAAGTTTCAGAAGATCTTAACCAAGGATGAATGATTAAGTACAATCAAAACTTGTAGCTCTCGAAAATATCAGGACTACTAAAACTTTTTGTTGAAATTTGGAATGTATGTAGTCAAAATTTTACTCCATCCTCTCCTCCATGAGGAACATAGGATTTTTTGTATAAATATTCATAAAAATATAATTGACAGTCTCTATAATCTTTAAATTTTGGGTTAATTTCTTAAATTGGTCCGAATTATACTCAAACATACTACTTTGGTCCGTGATTTAAAAAATTGCTATCTTGCCTTTACCTATACACCATCTAGACTAATTTTGGCCTGACCTGTGAATTTCCATCAAATTAAACGATCAACACCAATGACCCTTAATGAATCATTATTTTTTGCTTATGTGGATGCCATGCATACATTAAATTAATAAAACAATTTCCAGAATTGAATAAAACTAAAAATAATTTATTTTCAGATTATTTTCATTATTAATTTTAATGGTAACTAATATAAATTAGAACAAATAATTTTAATTTGAATTTTTAATGATTTTATTGCTGACATGGCAGTGAGCTGGCCCGTTGGCCGGTATTCAACGATGATGAGCGTCCAAATTGACTTTCAAAACACTCCTGCGGACAAACTAGTCTATATGGTGTATAGTTGAGATCATGATAGCAATTTCTAAAATCACGGGTCAAAGTAGTCTATTCGAATATAGTTCGGGCAAATTTAAAGTATTAACACTTAAAATTTCGTTTTTGAGATGATTCAGATTTATCAGATTCGTATAATTGTTCTTCTGTTTTTACATAATATGTATACAGATTTCAACACTACTGTAATCTAATATGATTTTATCATTTTCAATATTTTCTTTGTCTTCTGGTTCGAATTCGATGGTGATTACTCCTAATAAATCATTTAGCTTGTTTATTTTTTGTCTATAGTTGTCATTATATCCTAAATGGTGCTGTAATTTTTAGGATACTCGACTTTCTATATTCTTTCAAATATTTTCCATATCTTCTATTGATAGATTTTTATTAATCTTCCTATTTTATCCATTTTTATTGATAGATTTTCACTAGCCATTGTATTATTAGGCGATCTGAATCTTAGCAAAAATAAAAATAAAAATAGGGCGATCTGAATTGGTTCGACCAGGTTTAACCTATTTCGGTTCTTTATTGGTTATTATCAGTGGTTCTAAATAGAAGTGGTGGATCCTACGGCTGAGAAACAGGAGGCATTAGTGTCGTCACTGCACCATAGAATTGGCATTTTATGCGACGTTTGGAATGGAATATTCTGGTGTGGTAGTAGAACAATTCAATGGCTGGCTTTGAGATTATGGAAGCTCAATTATGAAATAAAATGTGGTCCAATTTTTTCATAAAAATCTAATCAAGTGTAAATAAATCATCAATGAATAAATAAAAATCATTACGATCTTATTTTAAAATAATTCAAATAGTATATACGAATAGATGATCAGAACTTAATTTAGTTGGAAATGAGAATATAGAAGAATCGAATAGTAGAAACAAACAATAGAAAAAACGAATATTAGATAGGAGAAAGTGATAAAATTTTAGTCTAAAGTTAAATATGTTACGAACTATTTATCATTTATTTACTTATTTTTTATTTTAATGTTGCTGACTTGTGTCTTATTGTAGTCAACGTTAAAAATAAGAGGCATAAGCAATATTATGTTGCCAGCCCTGCACGATTCACACGAAATATGGGATTTGAGAAGAAATGCAATGTTTGGTTGGAAAAAAGAAACATGGTAATTGTGATGTGTGATTCTACAAATACCACAAATATGGTATTCTCAAAATCTTAAGGAAATGGGCTAGTATTTGTAAAATGTCATGGTATTGTTTTTTTCTTTTTTTTATCTTAACATTATGCCCTCCCTATTTGCATATAAACCAAAAATATCGTTGCTTTTCTTCTTCTTCCTAACTTTGATAAAGGCTTTCCGGTCATATCTCATCCAACTCATCTCCACCTTGACTTCAAAATAGATTCAATATCAACGTTGTTAAAACTTAAAACTAAAATGAGGTATGAACTAGTATAGTGAACAACTCATATTTTATTGGTTTAACCGATATTAAATTGTTAAAATATGTTATGAACTCCTGCCCTATGAAAGTGGTTTTCGGGGATTTTAAGGAAGAGATGTTATTTGCGGAGCTACTTTTAGAGATTGGGAGATAATAAGTAAAGAAACTGTTTTCCCTTGTCGTAGTCCGTAGATGAGCCCCGAGGACAAAACAAATATCTACTTCTTTCCCCCTTTTTTAGTCAGAGTGTCTGCTTGCTAGTCGGTTCGGTTATAAACGTAATCATTTGTCCGTTTATCGATTAACCTTTGATCAATTTATGCTTATTGCTAACTACATCATTTATGTTGGTTGGTTATTTTGCCTTGGTATTTTAGTAGAGATATACCACATGTAAAATAACACTTCAATCATGATAATTCAGAATCAAATACCATGTTGCAAACTCCAATCACCTTTAGAACTAGTGCACCATTTAGATTTCTAATACAATTTTTTTGAAATAAAATCATCCAAACGAAACAATTAGGCCACCAAATCTACTAGTAGCTCATTACAAAAAACATAATCGCTAACTTAACTCTTCTACCTCATCCTGTAAGCACGGCCAATGCTGCAATTCCTCCAAAAACATGTCCTTCTGATTTGTAGCCTCAATCCTGAAAATAGGAAACAGGTCACCATATAAGTATAATGTAATTATGTAAACACTAATCGCAAAACAAAACTCATAACAAGTTGTAGTTGTGAATGGATAAAAAGAAGATAAAGCAGTGGTAATCTACTTCTAATCTTTCTCCTTTTTTGTCTCTTTAACGAAGAAAAAAAACTGTCTCCTTTTGCCTTGTTTATGAAAAACATAGTGCTTGGCCTTGAAAAAGCTCTGGACAAGACAATTTCAGGGTAAGTAACTTATCAAGTTAGAAAATGCTCATCAAGAAACAAAAAAAAAAAAAAACCATAAATGTAATTAGTGATTACCTATCTCTTCTGCGGTAGTCTGGTGATCAACCGGAGCTTTCATCTTGTGGGAAAATTTTGACTGTACTTTCCAGGCAGAGATGTGGTTCAATGAGGCAACTATCCCCAACAGGAATGTCAACAACCTGAACACTCCCACTGCTAGGTTCAACCCAAACGATTCCCCTCCGATATGACAGCAGAATATGACCATTCAAAGTCCCGGAATGACGAAATTCGCGACCATCAAACAGACGGTTGAGCACGGAGTATAGCTTGCACCAAGAATCCTCCTTACCGTATTCCTTCATTATCCAAACATCAAGCCGTCCCCTGAAGGTAGCAACCAAAGCCAAGCACGAGTTCACCACCCCAACACTCTCAGGACGATATAGACATTCATTGTCACCATCGAAATCTGGCAGCTGGAATTCACTGATAGAGTCGGTGCCAAGATCAAACGAATAAATCACAGGTGGATTGATTTCGCAGCATCTTGCGATCCAATGCAAAGCACCGCACAGAGGCACGCCCAAACACTGACGAGTTGATATTTGAAGGAACTTATTGGCCGGCAAACAACTAAAAGATTTGGTACCGAATCGGTAAGTTAGAATATAGGATTTGCCTATGAACCATTCCTCCAATACCAATAGAACGGCCTTGTAGTCGCGAGCCACCTTATCGTACCCGAACCCGTAACCTTCCAATGTAAAGCCGTTCTCGAACAGGCCATCCAATAACGGTTCGGCCACCATGAAGCTCAACAGTGTCACTAGTCGCGTCTCCTCTGGAAAAGCTGGATTGAACAGGAGGAGTTTGTACAATTTATCGCCTAGGCAGAGCAAACCATCGTATGAACCCATGATGATGTCGCCTCCGAAGCTAGGAGGGAATGAGTCAGAACAATAGTCGTAGGTCAAATTCAAAGGTCCACGACCAGGACCAAAAGTGCCCGGTATGATCCGGAGAACGGTCTGTTGTCGACACCTCCCGAAGAACAGGGAGGTAAAGCGCCGGCGTTGGAGTTGGATGAAATCGGGGTCGTCTATTATGGATCTCCATTCTTTGTTGACGCATCTCAACCTTCCGAGCTCCCATGGTGATTGGTGGCCCAGAATTTCTCTGACGACTCCAGACGGAATGTGGTCTGACATTCTCCAAACCTCGTCTCTGCTTCGGTAGTATTTTTCAGGGTGGCTGTATGGTCAAAATAGTAAAGTGGTTAGAGTTGTGAAAATGGATGATGGATTGAATAGCAAAGATTGGCTTGGCTGTATATAGTGCATGTTCGAAGCATCCTTTTACCCTTTTCAAATTCTTCAATTTCCCGAGAAAACATTGATTATGCCATGGAAATTGAGTTCCCTTTTTATCATTCCCAAAAAAAGAAAGCCAAGTGCATCAGATAGCCAATTGGTTCTCGACGACAAATGTTGTGTTGTGGCCTTGTTGAGATTGACGACTAACGAGAGACCAATTTAACCGTTCCATCAGGCAGGCAGAGGTCTTCGAGGCGCTTGGCAGGAGTTGGGAGGAATCAAACATCAGAAGCTATTGTTGAAATAGCCCATTTTATCAAGAAAGAACTACTTTGTAGAAGTTTAACCAGTCCGTAAGGAACTAGCAGTATAAGATTTAACCAATCGGATTCTGCCATCTTGATCCCAATCTCAAGCCCCCTGCCTGATTCCATATTTCCATACCCCAAAAAAAAAAAAAAAAAAAACTAATCAGTAAAAAAAATACTATATCAACGGCACATTTCCTTCCCAACTCTCTTCAAAGTCTCTCCATACATAAAAATAAAGTAGCAATCTTCAGAGTGGGCAGCCAACTTGCTCTATGCTCCTATGCCATCATCAAAACATAGACACCCCTTTCTTCCCCAGCAACATCTTCATCACTGGAAACAGTTTTAGCCTACGGGTTCTATCTTCAGGGTGAATATATCTGCACTAGAGAACCTGAGGGGGCACGACGCCCTTCATGCATGCAGGTCCTTGTTCGACTTCCATGCGGGGGCCTTTATGGCAACACCGTCGGCTGTCATTCCACTTCCATTTTCCGCATTTATTAGAGGGTCCGATTCATTTTCATTCCCCTGTACCGAAATCAATAATGTTAGTTAAGCTCAAAAGCGATGCACACAGAACAGTAGAAGAGGGAAATTATTACCTCGGGCTGTTTGGCTGAGGGCTCTTGAGACTTCTGCTGGGTCTCCAGCGTGCAACAGTAGGAATAAAGCACCATCCCAACTACAGCAATAAGGATGCCTAGAATGTTCCTCCAGCTAAATGGGTCTTTAAGAAGTACATAGCCAAAGGCTAACACTAGGCACGTTTTTAGGTGACCTAGGACCTGGTAGGTGACTGGAGATGTCTTTCCAATTACCAGAAATGTACTGAAATTTACAGAGACCGATATCAAGCACGAGAGAACGATGAAGAACTGCAACCAAAAATTGAAAGTTACCGTTGGATTAGAAGTAAGATAGCAAAAGGCCCACTCTGGAAAGGAAATGGATTTGGATATTCTTCCATGCTTACCAGGACTTGAGGGGTGTACTTGAAAGCAAAAACATTTTGGTTGGTTAGGAGCCCATCCAGAAATGGACCGACAATGAACAGAGTTAATGCCTGATAGGGGCAAGATTGATACAAAAGCTGGGTTGAGGAAACTTTGAACTTCTTCTGGATGGTATTTGTCATCTGAGATCATCTGGTTAAGGGTTTGACAACAGATGCAGCAAAAGAGGGGGAAACGGGACAAAAGTACCATTGTCTGAAAGACTAGTTCCAAGCAAACGAGAACAGGATGAGGAAAAGGAGAAACAACATCAATGTAGCAATAACAGAGCTAATAGGTCAAGGATACAATCTGAGCAATGCAGGTAGTAAGAACTGCAAGCAGTGATAAGACAGAGCCCAACATATTGAGCTGTAGATCAGTCACAGTTGCAATTCCAACACCCAGAAGGAGGATCAGTAGTGAAAACTGGATATTTCGACTGCAATTATTCAAGAAATGTCAGCACATAATCAGAATAGCAATACATTTATTTCCAAATTAACTAACAAACTGAGACAATAACAGAAACAACACAGCCAGACCCATTAATACATTTTGCACATGAATATCAACAATAATGCAAGAAAAATTTAACGCCTTACAGTTCCCATTTCAGGTAGATGCAGAGAGCAACAAGATTTACGGACTTGAAACAGAGTTAAACCAGTCAATCATTTTGCAATTTGAAGATCGAAATTCACCTGAATAGCTTCCTGAAGAACAGGGTCTCCAGCAGGACGGTGCAAGGAATGATTGCTAATTTTGTCATCTAAGATATCAAACAAAAGGAGCATATTCAGGAAGTAATAATCCGCAAAATTTTAGATATTATAGGAAATCATTAGCACATAGAATTTAACATAATTAGGGAAATCAACATAGTCCCCGTACAGAGCGTCATGCAAAGTTTCTGGCCGTTTTGCTGGTTTAAAAAGGTCATTGAGCTACAAAGAAGATAATCTCAGCTCTCACAAAGTCTCATCGCACTTCTTCTCCAAATATATATAATTTTAAAGCACAAGCAGCCATTTAAGGCAACCTGTTAGATAGCCTATTTTAGAATATACAGTGTTTCATTGGGAAGAAAGTTGTGGCAATGTACTTGAACTTTTTTAATGTGGAAGTTATTCAGAAAAGCATATGGAGCTAATATAGGAAAAAAGGTCTTACCTGGTAGAAACCAACAGAATTGAAACCCAAGCTAAGATTTAAAAGTCCAATGGAAATCCCATTCAATATGCCAAATCCCATGACTGCTCTTGCATCAAAAGGCTTGTGTTCAAACAACTTCATCCATAACGCCACATGAAGGGAGCAAAATGTGACCAAAAGATGCCAGCTTGTTAATGTCGTGGCTGCAAGGAGAGAATAAACATTAGAAAGCTAAATATTGAAAATATACTACAATTACAGCTATAATTGGGATGAGCACTTCGTAGATGCTTAATACCTTTATTGACATGTTAATAAAATTAAAGACACCTTGTAGATGCTAATAACTTTATCGATTCCGCTTTATCAAATTAAAGAACACATTTTTTATGGTTAACACCTATATTGGTACGTCTAACAATTTCTAAAGCACATGAATGCTTCTCAACTGCTGTAATCAGCAGGCATCAATAAATGGATCCAACGTAAAGTAACTCCAGAAAAGTTATATCTGAAGAACTGCTTTCAGAGACCCCAGATCTGATCCGTAAAGCAAGAGGGAAAAAGAAATAAAAATGGAACGCCTCATAAAACCAGCTCCAAGAGATAATTTAGCCATAAATGACTAGCAAACCAGTTTCCAGAAATATCCCCAAAAGCATACCAAGAAACCAAAATGGTAAAGCGTCATGGTCAAAATTATTACACAATCCATCACAATGGGTTCACCCTTGAATATCAAGCAAGCTCAGCCCTTGTCGACATCACATTTGCACACAAAACCATATTGGTCCTTACCTACTAACTTAAGATAGTTCTATAAGAAAACAATTGCAGAACAGGAAGAGACTCGAGAAGGCATTGGCGGTTAATTCATTCAAGCAGATTTCAATTAAGGTCAAAAGATGCAATGGGCAGTTCCCTAACTGCTACACGTGCCTTCACACAAACTGACAACTTTATCATTTCAACAACATACCTTAGACGACCTACTACCCAGTACCGACACAGAAAATGTCAAAGCCTCAGCCAAAAGTTCCTAATTCAAGCTCGTCTCAGAAGTTCCAAAATGGCATCCACCATTATCCAAACCAACAACAAGTTCCCCAAAATACATCAAAAGAGATAGAATTTGGGAGGATGAAGGAGTGCTAAGTAAGCATTAACACATCACTCACCAAAAGTGAAACCGAGAGTGCTAATGAGCGCTTTGTTGCAAATGACAATGGAGACAGACGAGACCACCGACAAGCTCAAAGCACCCACCGTCCCCAACTGGAACTTCTGGCCCTCACTCATCTTCACCGTCTCCTCCTCCCCCTGAAAACCGCCTCTCTTCACTACTTTCGCCAATTCACCCCGTTCTGCTGCTTCAGAACGCTCGCCGAATTCTCCCCGCCCCTGATCCAGATCTACCATTTTATTTACAAAATTAATCACACTACGTAAACAAGTTTATCTTTTTTCGCACCAACCAACCAATCAATCAATCAAGTTACGGAAAGGTCAAACACATTACCTCCTTTAGCTCGAGCCCACTCCAACGAAGAAAAAAAAACTCCCGCGACGCAGTGACCGGGGGAAAAAAACAGCTCGAGAAACCTGCAAAAGCGAAACGGAAATCAGAATTGAACGGGAGAAAAGGGAATGCTAAAAATAATTCCAACTCGTACAAACCCTAGATCTACTACTGATGCCGCCCCAATCAAAGGATCCGCAATTCGGATGATCAGGACAGTCGGCGGTGAATCACATACGTATAAAAAAGGAGCAGCAAACGCACAGTGATTGTGAACAGAGGAAGAGTACGGAAGGAGACGGACCTGTGATGTGAGACTCTTGAAAGCGAGAGAGGGAGACGGGAGAAAGAAACTCCAGACGGAAAAATAACTATGGGGGAAATTGCAGGGAGAAAGAAGGTGGGAGACGAGTGCGAGCTGCTGGCGCGCTGTGATGGGAGAGAATTGGGAAGGTCAAATCGATGGGAGTGAGAGAGAGAGAGGGGGGTTTCGTTTTTTGGCCTTTTTTCTTTTTAAAGTTTGGTGCATTTGTTAATATTAAGAAACGAAGAAAGAAAGGAAGATGAGGAAAACGGCATTGATTTTTGAACGGGAACTTTGATGAGAAAACGAAATGACGGTGACAAATACCACTTCTGTCTCTTCTCTCCTCTGGGCTTCCACGACGACGTTTGTAACTGTTTAGACTGATTATCTATTTACTACTAGGGGGTCGGCTCGGTTTGGTTCTACTAACCGAACTGAGACCGTTAAAAATCCAACAATCGGATTAGTATGTGCGCCCAAATCAAAATTGAACCCATTAAGACCTTATCGGTTTTTGGTTAATCGAAGTCCTATAAGACCTTATTGGGTTCGGTTTCGGTTATAACGAACCAAAAATCGAACCCCCCCGCATCCCTCAACTATAGTTTTCGGTTTCTGGCTTTTATCTAGTCTTTTGTTAAAACTGAAATTGATAAGTTACAACCCAATTGAAACCAAAGAACCCAAACCAATATGTTCCTTATCGGTTCAGTTTCAGATTAAACTGAAGACGAAACCAATTTCCCAAGCCTAATATTTAGTGGAGATTGACAATGGGAAATCTTGTAAAGTAAAAAATCTTCTCTTTTTTACTTTTCACCATCTCGCTAGCGTACTTCATTTCTTTTTACGTTGTCATAAAAAATACCTCGCATTGTTCGTTCAGCATCTTGTTAACCAATGTATTTTCTTATTTCTTTTTAGTTTTTTTTTATAAAATTTCTTTTTAGTTTTAACCTTACAAAAATCATGTATATATCCGTATCTTACCATTCTATTTCAGAATAACTCTCTAAAACAAATACAAGGGAAATGTTGCATTTCATAAAGGAAACATTTAAAGAAAGAAAGGAGTTATTGATCATGTGTCGTGATCACATGGAGTAACTATCGGCTCAAGCCTCAAGTTCATTAATTTGGAATCAATTCCAGTTTTCCATTAAAAACTCGAATGCATTAATTGGGGATCAACCCCAATTTCCATTATAATAATTAGAAACGTTGCCAAAGTTAACCACTGTGGCTAGACCGCAGGAAAGTGAGATATGAAATTTGATAATGTAATGGGGTGTTTAGCTTATTGTTGTATAATTTTTTTGGAAAACACGTTATAAAAAATCAGCAGGAAAGAGACATGAATGATGCAACGAATAAAAAATCAGTATTATGAACCAAAATTAAGTACATGTAACCTTGTGAAACAATATTGTTTCTGATAATATGATGAGGTGGAGTAAGTTTTACAGAAACCGAATTTCAGAAAATCGAATAAAAAATTGTCTATCCCGCCAATTTTCGGGAAACGAGCATCTCACAATCGTTGCTAGCTTTTACTCGGCCGGTTAGCCGATTAATTTGCTTTATAAAACTTTCATCTTGTCGTCATTGTGTTTTCTGGTTTTTTCCAGGCCATGATAAAATCTAAAGAAATCAAGAATGAACAATACGTTTTGGGATAGGAACCGTCGTTCCTGTATCCCTAGAAAATGGTGGTAAACACGGACTCACCTGCCAAACTGGTTTGGATTGAGATTTTTATCGGGTGTCAGGGAACCATGTGATTATAAATTAGACTTGATCAAAACGGGCCAAAACTTGAAATTCAGCATGTTTAACCGACTCATGCCAAACTCTAATTATTCTTTACTTTTAAACTTTCTGTTTGAAAATAAAAAAATAGTGAAAGAAAATAGATGACTGCAATTCGCCATTTGCACATCACTGATTCGGGAATAAAACTATAGAAATTCGAAAGGAAACTGAAAATGTTCAGGATCGTTTTAATATTAAAAATAACGAAATAGATATTTCTGTTTAGTTTTTTACTAACAAATACCAAACGATTCCCTATAAAATACACTATAATTTAATCATTATGATATCAAATACTTACATAATATATATTTGAAATGATAAAAATTGGACTAATTGGGTTGGTCGAGGTAGAACCATTGAATAACTTTAAAATACATTATTTTTTAGCCACTAAGATATAAAATAATAGCATAATATATATTATCTTAGAGAAAATAGCTTGTTTTAGAATGACAAACCCATTACCCATGATGTTCATTTGTTTTACTTGATGGTCAAATCCCGTGTAGGTCAGACCCATTCAACTCGATCTTTTATTTTATGGTTAGCGGTTAGCCCATTAGAATCCATGCGTTAGTTTATTGTTAATTTTTTTCCTTTTTAGCAATAAAAAGGAGTATTATTTTTGCCTTTTCATATATATTTTACCACCACGGAGAAATAAAATGGCTTAAAGAAAAAAATTGACACTCCTGGACCCGTTTAAATCCGCATGTGTACGGTAAGTTGGCTCGTTCCACAGAGGAAAAAGAAAAAAATTGACACTCCCTATTCTACCCTTCCTACAAACGCTCATGGAGCAGAAAATTTGAAATAGGGGAAGAGTTTTTTCCTCCCTGCTATTATATGTTTTTAATTTAAAAAGATACAACAAATGTACCTAGTGTGATTGCTTATGATCTTTTCTTTACTTTAAAGTAGTCATGGTTCGAATCATAGTACGTGTCGTTTTAATGAATAAAAAAAAGTAATCGGGAAGACCAACAATTACTTAATGGGCCTTCGTAGATGAAAATTGGGTTTAGTTGGGCTTGTCTGGATCTGTTAGTTTTGCAGAGTTATATGATTAGATTCAACATTTAATTGAATATCTTGAATAAGAAGGGAAGTTAAAGAAAAAAGTTATAATGAATATGGACATTAGAAAATAATTTTAGAACAAGAGAAATTTCCTCACACCAAACCAATTCCTTCATTTTTCTTACGTTTTTATTTACTCCTAATATTAATTTTTGTATGTTAATTTTAGCGAATTATATATTTTTGTTTTTTATTTCAACATGTGCTACCTCAAGCAAGTTTGAGATTTCACTAGATCAAACAAAAAGATTTGTAGTCTTTGAAAAGTTAAGCGGAATTAAAAAAAAATCATGATGTTCGGAGTGTGGAGCACAAAGTTATAACCGTACAAAGTGTAACAAAATAAAAAAAAATTGCTCGTTCGGAGTAGCAAGTGACGTTTTTTCGGGACGAAGGCGGGTCATAGGAGGTTTGCGGCTTGCAAGGTCTCGAAAAATTATGAGGAATCAAAAAAATTTCTCTAAGATCGGATACTCGAGCGCAAAATTACGTTCGTTTGAAGTTTCGGTGAGATTAGGAGTTGATAAAAAAGGTAAAAACCGCTGGGGGGGCGATTTTCACCTTAACCGCTTCTTCCCCAAGCGGTTTATCAGACCGCCCGCCCTGATTCGATTTTCAGCAAAAACCGCGCCCTCCCCAAGAGGTTTTCGGAAAAGTGTTGTATTTTTGGAATTTTTGAAAATGGGTGGTATTTTTTGAATTTTTTTATTTAGTTGTATTTCTGTAAAAATTCCACAAGTTTTGAGGTAAAAATAAATGGTATATAGTGATATCAGGGTGGTAACACGTGGTAATGGGGATAAAAAAAATTCAAAATATGTCAAAATTTTATATAAACTTGTAAATCACAACAACCTTGTTTTGTCTGTGTAAAATTTCTCAAATTCCGAGTTCAATCAAAGAAAATACATGTTGATTAAAACATTGGAGAAAATAAAAAGTTTTTTTAATCACAACTATTCGAGTTGAGGCAACTTAAAACCAATATGACAACTTTATATGTAAAAATAAAAATGAATTACCAAAAGTTATACATCTTATCCTAAATCTTTGTAAAGCCCTCGGCACCATAAGACTTCTGAAGACTGATCTTAATTTTTACATACTGGTACAATATTGTTTGTAGATGTCGTTTATTTCTTAGTAAGTTCATGAATCTTAAGCAAACTTTATATGGTCGCGAGTCTATCAAATTTACTACACCAAACCTTCAATTTTCTATTAGCTACCAACCCGAATGTCTAAGAATATGGACTAACTGCTATTTTTGGGAGGTTTTCAGCCGAAACCCGAAAAACTGATAAGCAAAACCGAACCCGAAACTGAAAACCCCGAAACCCGAAACAAATTCGAATCCAAAAAATAGAAAATGTTTTTAGTAGGGTCAATTTCGGGTAAACCCCAAAAACCGAACTCGAATCGCACCCCGATTAAGAGTCACGAGCTGCTCGGGTGATTTATTGTTTGGTCAATGAGCCCAGTGGCCAGTAGCCAAACTCTTCAACATAACCTGGAATTAAGTTGAAAATTGGACACTTAACTGAACTATTGGACCAACTTTTTTTTCTTCAAAAAATATGTTACGAAACAGCTTAAATATTATAAGTTAACATATGTATAATTTTAAAGAATAAGCAGGAAGCTAATTAAGATTCTATAATGTGATTTGATAATTAATATATATATAAACCTTAAGTAAGGTTACTGTTGCATAAACAATAACATTTTGATACCCCAAATTTTTTTAAATTACAATTTAATCACTATAATATACATTTTACATTGTGATACCCCAAATGTAATTTTAATGTAAAATTATGAAAAATTATGTTTCGGTATCTAAATTTTATGAGATTTTCTTACCTACAATTTTTTAAAATTTACATATTGGTATTTAGATTTCACTTGAATCTATGAATCCAATCCACCAGTCATTTCCGTCATCTACTTCCTCTTCGTTCCACCAATAATTAGTATACTATTTTTATGTATTCTAATAACAAGTATGAACGAGTCCATACACGACTCACCAACAGTCTGGAGAATTAATGATTGAACCATGAACCACTAAAATTTTCAGCTCAAAGTCGAGTCCAATTAAAAATAAATATATATGGTTATCTACTTATTAGAAAGTCATCATTTTCCACTACGATATTTGAAGGCGTGAAATTTAAAGCAAGTTCCACTTTGTAACCCGGGGTAGAATTTTCAACAATTATACATGAAATGTTTGGCTAGGTATTTACACATATCAAATAAATAGTTTTCATTTTTCTATAAAAAAGTAAACAATTATCATCTTGAATACCTAAACTTAATAGATCTTCATATTTATAACATAAATTTATTTTTTTGACATATATGAGCCTCAAAATATTGATGGAACATTACATTTTAGTACCTAAAATTTTGTTGGTACCTAAACTTTCGAAGTTCTACAAATAAGTCTAATTTTTGTATGTGTAATTAAAACACCCTCGAATAAATGGCTAACCATACCCAACTCATACACATTTAGATTATGAAAGTAACTATTCATATCCTACCCAAATCCATCTACAAACTTACAAACTCATATATAGGTTACTCATACCCTACCTATAATCAATGGGTCTACTTGGGTTTAGGTAAATATCATTTATTAGCCACATTTTTTAAAACAAATTAAATTGGATGTTGACCGTCATATATATCTTCTCAGTCAATATCGTATTGTCAAATCAATATAACTAACAAAACTTCTAACAAAATATTAATTTAGACTAATAATACTAACAAAACACCATAACTGACCACACAATACAATGCCCATATGCCATCTCCGTCCGCGACAAAGCGCTATATAAAAAAATTAGATATTGCGGTAGGTATACCATACTGTCTATAAATGTAACATATTTGATATACAAATTTGAATAAACTTCATTTTTGTCGATAGCCCTAAATTTCGACAGCTTTTCTAACAAAACAAAAAGCTGTCAATTTGCCGGTTTGATAATGCATCTGATTTTATTGTACTTTTTATTAATATAATGCTTCAAAAATGGATCTTTCCTGCGGAAATAATAAGAAATTAATAAGCGGACAAAATGATTTGTATTAGGCATCCTTCAAGTTCAAAGTCCCATTATTGCTTGCTAAATTAAATCATGATGCTTTCGATTTAGGTACAATGTGACATTGGTTTATCTCAAGTTTAACACCTTTGATTGATCTTGTGCAAAGATTATTCATGACTCATACCAATAGTACCCACCAAGTTTGCTAGTTCTCCAATTGGATGAGACAATTTGGCTTCAATTGCCCCAAAAAAAGCAATTGGTTCACATTATGTCGTTTGACAGCACATTGTAGAAATGCAATAATTGGGTTGAGTCAATTTGAATTGTTTTATTTTTCATCAATTTGAACTGACAGAAGGAGCAAGTATTCCGAAATGATACATCAATTGGGTAAATGTCACATTTGGTCACTGAGATTACTAAATCGTGTCATGTATAGTCCCTACATCAATTATAACGATAAATTTGAGATAGAAGTATGTAATGAAGTGGAAATATATATAAAATTGTTATTACATAACTCACTCTTTCATGAGTTCAACGCTTTTAATTCCACAACTTTTTTCACAATACAACCACACTAACATAAATTATTATCTTGCGATACGACACAAGTGTAACTTTTCTAGTAAAACCCAAAAAAAAAAAAAAAAAAAAAGAGGAATTTAGAAGGCTGAGAGCGGGTGCTAAACTTTAGACACCTCAGCTAGCCCAAAATTCCTCACAAATCAAAGAGCAAACCTCAAGCCTAACTATCCACACAAACCTTAATCTAGCAGTACACACATTTTATATATAATACAGACACTAAAATTCTCACTGCCGAACTGTAAAAGTTCATTTCCCATTTCTTCTAAAACTGGAAGCCTTCGAAAGTTTGCCCAAACTGCCAACCAGCAGGAACGACGTTGTTACTAGTAACAGTCTTCCCATCACTAGTAGTGACTGAAAAGGTGAGACTCTGTCCATTGAGGTAAGCATTGCTCTGCCAATTCTGGCCCCAATTCCTCGACATCCCCTGCCACCCAGTCCTCGACCCTTTCACCCACACCGACTTCACGTCCCCTGCGCCTCCAACATTCGTCACCAGCACCAGGTTGAAGTAGGAGTGGCCGTTGATCGTGAACCTGATCCCTCCCTTTTTCCAGCAGGGAACCCTGCGGAACGAGACGGGCACGATTCCGGCGTGAAATTTGGCGATTTGGAGGAACGCGGGTTGGGCCAGGTCGAAGTGCTGCAGCGGCGGGTTGCACCACCCTCCGTTGTTGTTGGGCAGGGCCGGGTTCGGCGGGCAGAAGTTTGTGGCGCTGACGATGATGGAGCGAGGGAGGCACCATTGCGGGTCGTTCACGCACCGCATCTCGAAGCAGGCTCCGCAGCTCAGCCCGTTGTTGAACAGCGCCGTGCTCAGCGCCGCCGTGTTGGTTCCGTAGCCTTGGCTGTACAGGTTCCCGTACCCGCACGCCCCTCCTAATTACCGAAAATAAACCAAATTAGTCTTCTTTCTTCGCAAATTGAGACAGTTGAGCTTAATTGGTAAGGTAGGCAGAGCTAATTGTACTTACCCATGGTGCCAGAGGCATCACCACCGCCGTAGAAGGTGGCGTGGGCGGACTGCCAGCCGCCGTAATCAGATGAAACACGATCAAGAATCGTCAGGGAGAAGAGGAAGCAGAAGAGGGTAAGAGGGGAGAATGAGAATGTGATAGAACGAGCTGCCATTTTTGGTGTCCTTTGTGGGTTTTGTGTTGTGCTCTGTTTTAGTTGTGTTGAAACAGAGTACTCTGTTTTAGTTGTGATGAAACAGAGGAGGGGAAATGGGCAGTATTTATAAGCAAAAAAACAGAAAGAGTGGGCTCGTCTAGCGTTATCTAGGAAGCTAAGGGGGGAAGAAGGGTATTGCGATCGAGTTAAGGACAGCCGGCCAAGAAGCTGATACACGAAATCGATCGAAAGAAAGCACTCTGCACATGCAGAGGGGAAAAGTTGGGTTTTTTTTTTTGGGAGAGCGATTGATTCGATTATCTTAATTGCAGGATTTGGATTTGGTTTGTTGTTTTGGGGCCAGCAAGAGGTGGGGGAGGAAGAAGGATCCCATTAACAACCGCTCAAAATTCTACCCACCACCAAAAACAATCTCTTCCCAAGGGAGGGAGTGGGGCCGTGACGGATACGAGAAGCTTGCACATGCATATGCTATTAAACATATCATGATCAAGATACATTTCTTCTTCTTCTTCTTCTTCTTCTCATTGTTATTCATTGGTTAAGTGTGCAATTCGCCGTTCGTGGCGTTAATTCTTATCAAGTTTGTTTGTTCTTTTTATGCTGCTATGTCTCTAGCTAGCTACTGCGTGCGTGTGCTTGTTGGTCCTGCTGCTGCATGTGTTGTCTGTTTGTGCTTCTTTGTATGGGGATTGGTTCATTTTTTAGAGTTTCATTTTTGCAATTAACAAGAGGAAGAGTAATAATTAAAATGTTAAAAGGGTGAATGAGTGCTGAATTTTTGCTAGGCGATTTGTCTGCTTGTGCTTTCCTGTCGTCCGTGGAATTGCTAAATGATGGTGATTTGAATAATTAAATTGGCCACGGTCGTTCATTGGTTCAGCGGATAATACAACAAAACTAGAGTTAAAAGGACGGTGGTTTGTCAGTTTATGCCATGCAAAGTAAAAAAGCATAATGGCACTGCGTGAAGAAAGACTAAACAAGTTCATGCTACTAAACCAAATTGTACCTCCTCTCCGACTGAAGAAAAAAAAAAGTTTGTAGATTCACGATTTAAACACAAAATATCTTATCATAAAAAGTACGATATATATGATTTTGTACAATCTTTGTGTTTAAGTGTAAACTCCAGCTCATCTAAGTTTTGGGTGTTAACATACCATCATTTGGCCAGTAAATAAGCAATTTGTTTTACTCTTGGCTTGCTTTATTTATTCCCTTCTTTTAATTTTGTAAGCTTCAACGTTTTGTAGGGTGTTGACGTTGACATATATCTAATTTGGTCATTAATTAATTTCAAAATCATTAGGAGGGGCAGCCAAATTTCATCCCACACAGATAGCACATGAAATATGTTGATTAGTGAGTGTCATTAGGGAAATTGGACAAATTAACTGTAACCGATCAGCTTGATCACCCATGTTCTCCATTTTGCACTTCTTGTTGTTTGTGCGTTGCTAAAGTTACGAAGATGAAGCCAAAAAAATTTATTCGTTTTGTACTTTCTCTTATTGTTTTGGAACGGTAGCTAGAATCTTGTAACCAACGAGCTCCTAGTGTAGTGTATACATAATGTGTATACCGTATTAATTTGGCGTATCGGAGTGTAGATTAAGAAATTATCTCGAACTTTTCATATATATCTTCCTCATCCAATAAGATCGAAAGAAAGAATTCAGATCATAACCCAAAGATTATTGTTATCAATTGACTTTAATTATGACCTTGGTCGAAACAGTACATATTGCTATTAAGGGTTTTCTTCTTAATCAAATTTGGCTTAACCCAAAGACCTTGGCTTAACAAATAGAAGCATCCATGAACGTCCATGACGGCATGCCCCAACCAAACAATCTATGACACCTTCAACTACTGCTCGATATCCTAATCAAACAACAAGACAGACACATATATATGATAATAATTTTTGGTAAATTGCCAATCTCTTTCTCACATTATTCCTTTTTTTCTTTGTTTTGTCTTTTCAAGTTGGGCTTTGGCAAAGGAAAGTTGTAAGCTCGCCATGTGGCAACTGATGAGCGGCCCTACCATGTTACCCAGCAGCACATATATAATTCCCACCGGCTTTGTATTTTCATGGCATGCATGTTTAGGTTAACATTGTTAGTAGGTGGTATAGAATTTTTTATTATTTTTGTCAACAATATTAAGATATTGATTTTTGACATTAGTATCGGAGTTATTCGTGATAGAGATGTCTTTTCTTTGAATCTTGACGATCTTATTTTCATACCGTGCAAATTTCGAGCATAATTGAATAGTTTGAGTATGAAAAGACGTTTTAACATGTGTTATATTATTTACTAGCTTAGACCATGCCCTATAGGCAGGTATTTTTTTAGTGTGAACTTAACTATAAGTCTATAACATTTTATTTATCTATTTGTCTTAAACATTTTGATGTTGGTTGCTCGTTTTTCTTTTTATATAATTTGTTTTGCTACTAAATTATCTCGTTATTTTTTATAGTTCAATGTTTCTTAAGATTCTTGAAAAACAGACTCTTTGGGAGTCACTAATTACATAATTGTTTGCAAAAAATAAATAGTTATGCATTTGAAATGTACAATATTTAGACAACTAAAAAAGTTAGGATAAATACTAATTATTAGTCCAACTTTTTATGTATTTTTTTAATTAGTCAAACCTATTGAATTACTAATAATGAGACAAATGTTAACTTTCAGTTAGCAATTTGTTAGTAATATTGACTTGGCAACAATCAACATGATACTGACTTGGAAGAGACACATGAATGATAAAATTTCAAAATTTTAGTATTTTAACTAAGAAAAATGTTTTAAATTATTAACGCTAACATATAAAATGACTAATATTGTGATGTGTTACAAAAGATTTGACTAACTAATAGTAATTCATTAGGTTTGTCTATGCTGATCGCATGAGCAAATTGGATCATGAATACCCCGATAAAAAATGCAAATTTATTTGGCTAATAATTAGTATTTACCAAAAAAGTGCCTACATATTGTAGATATTTATTACTAACATATATGTGTATTCCTTTTCAAATAACATATTGATATCTACGTATAAACATCAGCGAAAAAATTGTCATTTAAAAAATAACTTAAGAAGTCTTATTTTGTTATAAGTAATAAAATTAAATACACAAATTTGATGATTATTAGAGAGTTGTTGAGAAGGAAAAAAAAGAGAAAAAAGACTGTTTTGGTGAAAACGGGACAAAAAAAGGAAAAAAAAGCCTCCGAATGTTGCGGCCAAGCTTTCTCAGAGAAAGTGCTTTATATATTTTAGAGATTATTGAAACTCTTCCAACAATTTACATACGGACTTTTACGTACAAACATTATTGTGATGTTTTTAATTAGATGCATTTATGAAACTTGTAACAAGCAAGTTTCAAAAATACTTAAGTACAAGCCATCATAAATTATTTTATCATAGATTCATACACTTTCTAGCACATTGTTATATAATTGAAGATTACGACGGTTTGAGAAAAAAAAATTGGAATGACTAAAATAATGGCTACACGGCACACGCTCAATTTTTGTTACTACCTAAACATAATAATTTAACATTTAAGATTAATTTTTTCATTAGTGCTCTTTTAAACAGATTAGGATGCACATGGTAGGGTATATATGCTAATTGGTATATGTTTTTTTGGAATATTAGGCAGCTGATATAAGACCAAATTAAAAAAGAGGGCGTTGAAGACGTCAAATTGGGGTCACTACTCACTCTTGCTTTTATTTTGACCTTCTCCCTTGGCCTCATTAATTCATCCCAAATCTCCGCTATATTATGTATTATCAATATCATCCAACCCATAAACTTCCAATATTGGTCTTGAGGACTGTAAATTACCCTGGTGAAGGGCATGCACTTTCCAAGTGGACTCGATCACAAGACCATCCTTGTTTTGGATATCCTTTCTCGGTTTGTTGGTATGATATTGCGAACGAATTCGCTCAGTTGATACCAATAATTCGAAAGTCATCATATATGGGTTTGGAGTTTGCACAAGTCCGTACACTATGTGCACGTGGTTTACAGAAACAGATGTGGTCATCGAGATTTGAACACAAGACCTCTCAGTCACAGAAGGCTCTGATACCATGTCAAGAACCAGTTGATCCCAATAACTCTAGTTGTTGGAAGAGGTTCAATCGTGGATCATATACAGTTTACTAACAAGCTTATCAATCAACTAAAAATTTGAGCTAATTTACGAGTCTAAATTGTTGAACCAATAAATTAAATTCTAGAACAATTTTAAAAACCAATAGCCCAATATTTGTATGCTATTGTGTATAATGTTATGATAAAAAAAGAGATAACAATAAAAAATTTCATCACTAATGGATCTCATGTTTATAGTTTATATACAATCTGTTGGTATCTGTTGGGGGTACTACCCAAAGGTTAATGGTCTGGGCCCCCAAAAAGTAGGATTGGGGGGCAGGGCCCAAAAAACGGTTCCAATAAAGGCCACTAGGCCCAAGCAAGAGGAAAGGCCCAAAAGAACAAAACACTAAAAGCCAAGAGAAGACCAGCAGTCAGGTGGTCCACTGCCTGGGGCACCTGTCGCGTGTCAGAAGCCTGACAAGGCAGTTAGATGTCTCACAAGGAGGACACAGAGCATTAAATGGAGGCGGTGACGTGGAGGAGATCAACCTCGAGTTCGGTGAGTATAAATAGGGGCAGTTGGTAGCATTTACACAGGTTGGATTCTCTCACCAAATTTACTACTGGAGAACACTTCTCTCTCTAAGAAACTAACTTGGGCGTCGGAGGATTAACGGGCCTGGGCGCCCCCCTCTTTGTGTGTGTAGGCAGGCGCCGGACGAAGGGAGGCTCCTGCTATACCGGCGGGTACTGTGGCTCAAAAAATTGGTGCGCCAGATAGGGGAATATAACCAGAAATCATGAGTGAGGAGACGGCGATGAATGATGAAAGGGAAAGGGAGGAGGTCACGGAGGACCAATCGGAACGATTAAGGGGGCTGGCGCCCGAAATGGAGGAAGGAGAGGAAAGCGATGACATGTTTCGGGGATCGGAAGGCGCCTCGATGACGAAAAGAGAACTGTTCAGAATCATCGAAGACCAAGATGGAGCGATAGAGGCGCTTCGAAAAGAGGTCGACGCTCTAAAAAGGGTTGGAGGAATGACGCCCAGTCCAACAAAGAAAAGAGAAAGGGTGGCGGAGACGGAAAGTGAGTCGGGATATCAGAGGCGCCCCAATTTGTGGCGCCCGCGAGAGTACGATGGGCCAGAAACGGGAGGATGGAACGGAGGGATCTTGGGACGCCTGTCTCGTCACAGACCTGTGCAGCAGCCTTTGGCGCGTAACATACTAATGGAGCCTGCGGGGACCAACATTCCCCCGCTCCCCACCTATGATGGGACCGCTGATCCGGAGGACCACCTCAACGGTTACTTCACCAAAATGCAGCTTTACAACAGTACATACGCCACCCTATGCAAAGTGTTCCCGTCAACTTTCGCGGGCGTGGTCCTCGATTGGTATTATCAGATTGAAGAGGGGCGCATTG